CCCTATAAGAAATATTTACAGTTTTGTGAATACTTTCAGAACTTACCAGTAGTCCTGAATGAAAAAATAAAAAAAGCTTCAGGCTATTTTATCGATGATACGACATGAGCATGCATTCTGGATAATATGACAGATGCATTTCAATAATCTCACTGTGTGAGGGGGATTGGGTGCTAATTTTTAATTTTACCCTCAAGCAAGGGCATAAACAGTTTTTTAAAGATATTCAGATCATTCCCCTAGGGATTTGAGGAAACTTAAACCTATGATAAATATGCTTATCGGAGACGCAAGGCAATGTAGCACTATCACACAAAATACCGCTCATCTGTTTTTCTTTAGCCTTCTGGGTGAGCGAGTGCAAAAATATGCAAAGCCTGGGCCTAAGCAGATGTCCAAAACTGGCTGGATAATTAAAGGAATGCTCAATTTCAGCCGACTTACCTATGTGACACACTACCAGCATGCAGTAATTAACTTTTGGGCCCGAACCATTACCGGGCCAGCGTTTTCGGACCAGCTCCTGGTAGGTGTTTTTGCCCCCCGGGATCAAACCCTCGAGTTGAAAAATGTCCTCCCACTTCGTTGTGGCCACTAGTTTGCTTGTGTTGAAAAGAAATTTGCGTCGGATACCGAAAAAGTAGAAATCAAAGTAGTCAAAAAACTCTTTATCCTTTTGGCCGATGCTGAAAGTAATGCCCGGAAGGGAGGGTACTCGAATAAGAGGTTCTGCCAGCGGTTGGAAGAAGTCAGTGTTGCCTGGAATGCTGCCATTTCCAGACTCAAGGAGCACCTGGGCCATCCGTATCGATAGAGAGGCCGCAGATGCGACGGAGACCTCTATAGACTGTATTAATATGGAGATAATCACAGTGAGTATAAAATCCAGCTATTTCATAGAAGCAGAGTATATCAATGTAATTTGTCGAGAAGGTGTGCAAAAATGAAGCAATTGAAACGCTGACTTATTTACTGCGTACGCTTCCATGGGTTTTCGCCCGCGTAAAACTAGTAAATAAAAACAAAATGATAACAATCCGGGCACTACTATTAATTTACTCCTTTATTCATGCCTATCCTCCGGCAGTAACAGTTTGTTTCTTTCATGTTCCCTTTGTTTCGCATGCTAAAATACTTAACCTTAAACCACATCGCTATCGAGTGAAAGGGGCAGATTCAAAAGCCTGCAAATGTTAGGCTGCTTAAATTTAATCCATGCGGAACCGAAATAAATCCCATAATGCCGCTTCCTAAGAAACGGTCAGGCAGTATAATTCTCAGTCGAAGAACGCCCTTGGCTTAACGTTTATCGGCAATACCAGCCGAAGTACACACCGTCGAGGACTCAGCAAGTGATTATTGCAGGTATGCAGTTCTGCAAATATTACCTAATTCAATCTCCACCTAACTAAATCGAGTAAAATGCACGAACGAGTAGCTTTACTCCACAGCCTACTGCTCCATTTTTTCTAATATTCATAAGTTATCCCATAGCAAAAGGCCTGGTTACTTTATATCCTTTGCGGAAGAACCGTCGTCTAAAAATCAGGATAAACGACATCATACGTTCACTGATCTTTTTGGCGTTTAGGTCTAGATCTGTCAAGTGGTTAACCGCGAAGACGTTTAATGGTGGCCGCTGAACTGGTACCACAACCTCAACTACCTTTCTGTCATTATCCAGCGACTTGGGGCACACTTCCACTTTTGGCGCTTTTCTAATCTATCCTCCTCAAATAAACAGTAGGTACATTTTCTAGTGCAACAGGTCCGGCACTCTTCTTTCAAGAGAGCTATTTTAAAACGACCCTAAACCAAGTTTCATCATCTAATAAACAGGTTCCTCAACATGCACTCAAAGACATGTATGGGTCTCAGCTAAATCCCAAAAATATGAGGACACTGTTGTCTTCTAACTCACTGACTGCAACAGTGGCGATGAAACATTGAAGCCAGATCCGGCAGGGTTCGCATTCAGGATAAAGAGACACAGACCTGCCTCACCGATTTGTGGTTGTGCGTTCATGGCCAGACGCCAGTCCCGCAAGGTGTCGTAAGTGTTCAAAGAGGAGGGGTCCACTTGTATAACTGCTACTTTGCCAGAAGGGACAATAGTCAGAATTCTTGGAGTTTCGAGTAAATTTAAGGCCATGAATGGACTGGCGATCAGTAGGATAACTACAACAGGGAATAGATAGGGGAAGAGAAAAGAAATCTAAGGTCGTAAACAGTAATTACAGCAACGCATGGCGACTTTCAAATCTCAAGTAATGTGAGTCTGTTTTATTTTCAACTATTGAGCATTCAGAAAGCCCTTTTTATGTTGCCAGCGTCAAAATGAAAGATATTCAAGATTGAAGGGCTGCTAGTTGGATCTAGAGCGCTCTAACATGTTAGATTGAGGAATTTTCTGATGACGACTATGGAAGCTAAATAAATTACTTCAATGGTCACCTTAAAGACAGTTCAGTGCACTCAAAAGGAAAGCCAAAACATGCATTAGCGACCCCTCAGCAATTTTTTCGTAAATACGGAAAACTTGGGACCTTTTTACGACAAAGAGCTTTAGTGGGCGTTGACGAAAGCAACTATTGGCATCAACAAAACCCCTGGACAGATGGATTTACTTAAGCATTAAAGTTATGTCCGGCGCTGCCTCGAAAATATTTTCCTGCGCGCAACTGTTTTTACCATAATTGACTGACCCGGATGGGCGTAGATAAGTCCGCTAAAAGCAAAGCAATTTGCGCTCACGTTTGTAAATAGATTTCAGCGTGTTAACATGTTTCTGTCTTAGCAAATTTTGGTTAAGCAGTACCCTTTTCCTATCTTTATGTTCAGCTATTAATTCAGTTGACGCAGCAAATTCACACTTTTGACCACTTAATGAAAAATGTCGAAGCTAGAGATGACAAATTTGAGTTCATCATTGAAATGAGAAATGAGGGGAGCTCTAGAATTCTAGGCACGTTCTCCGGACGTACCCATCTTTGACCGATTACGATACGTTGGCGATTTGAGTGATTAAGAGTGTATCTAAATAAATGGCTAGAGGCCATGGTTACTACTATTACACGTGAACGGATGTCACCACGGAGATTGTTTGCGCTTACCCTGGCGTGATTTCTCGACCACTACCAATGCGAATGGACGAAGGTTGGACTGATGTATATTTCAGTGGTATATACATTGCGTGCACAAGATTTCTTCCGGTTAACTTAAGGGTTATTTAATTGTCTCTATTAACCATTAACCGTGACTTATTTAAAGGTTGAATGTTTCAGACAGGGCAGATTTAACATTGGATCCGTTAACTACCTGCCTGCAGTTCTGCTTCGACGTTTTTCGTCATTAGAACATTCCACACTCGGAACTTTATTACAACTTTATTAACGGTGTTCAATATACGTCGTATTCAAATGTCAGCAAAGAATTAAATAAGTGTTTTTGCTCTTCCGATGTTAATCCGCATCAGACCAGCCGAGCATTTCAAAGTCTTCCTATTGAAGAAGTAACTTACGATCCACCGAAAAAATCTAGAGACTTGACCTTCCTGAATCTGCAAATGGTCCTGACTATCATTTCGCTGAGCTTGCCTTATACAAAATACTCAAATTGATTAATTTCTAGGCCACTTTAGCTAATACGGCAAATCGTGAAGCAGTGGAACATCTAACTGTATGGTACATGTTTGCCTAAATATATGTTGACATCCAAGTTGCAAAAGATTACCCGTTTCTGCTAAATCAGCCGTATAGGTATGTGACACAATTTTTCAAAACTTTCACTAAAAATATTCTGGAACCCTTGCCTTAGTGTTTTACTTGTTATATTGTACGCATACTGAAATAAAGGACTTTCAACAGTCATACAAAACCGACAAATATATTGAGTGTTACTTTCATAGTTGTAGGTGGCAGTTTAATAGGCTGTTTTAAGTCATGCCTTTCAGCAGAGTTCTCTTGTTAATTATTGATTAAATTAAATAATTTCAGCGTAAAAATTTGTTGACAATAGTCCAAATGACAGCTTTTGAATGTATTCTCAGCCTCTTTCTTCATCTGAAATTATCATTTCGTTTTTCTGTCAAATATTTCCATTTTTACCCCAATTATGCTTCTACAGTTGTAATCTTCCCACCATCTTCCAAAAATGAAGCTGTTAGCCAAGAGCACACCTAATATGAAACCATTATGATTTACCTGACAGCTAGCGTTTTTTCAGGATTTATGATCTAACAAAAGATGCTGGACAATATTTCCAACAGGAGTTTTAAATGAAAGGATGCTTCTTTGTTCGATTTTTGCAAACTATTTTTACTTAATTCCCATTTATCGATAGGATATTTATTGGTTTATGAGAACTATTTCCAGTAAAAGTCGATGAGCGTAAACACAAATCGTAAATTATGCATTTCAAACTGTCGGACTTATATATCTTGAAGTATTTTATTGGTACAAAGGCAGTTATACACACAAAAAACGCAATTTAAATAAATAACTCCTATATGAGATGGTTGCGCATTGAGCGATTTTACGATGCTGGGGACAATCAAAGCAGAAAAAGCTGTATGACGCAGAAGTAAATATACCCAAGTTTTATTAAATTTTCACAACTGGGTCAACTAAATTAACCAAATCTGCCAAACTTCATTAAATATTATGAATGGCCCTATAATAAATTCCAAGATTTTGAGCATGAGTTCAGAGATTAGTCTAGGGTTAAGACACTGGATCAGTTATCCGCTGATCTTGGAATTCAGCATAAGACCATTTGTCATACGGAACTGTTAATATTACCATATTCGGTCTTCCAAATGAAGTCTTAAAGTAATCTACATGGAATTCGTTTTGGCTTTTTGTGCAGCTAACCACAAAAGAGTAGGTTGCCATGATATTTTGCATTCAAGTTTTGTTTTCAAGTTGTGGATCAGAACGCAGTGCCATGCAATACAGCCTAACGTGTGCCCTACTCATCCAAAACGGTAAGCACATTTGCCAACCCAGAGTAAACAAGAGTTCATTCCAACAGACTTGAGTGGCAGTGGAAACTCATATGTGCTCTAACATAACTCGCAATGACCTCAGACAATTAATTTGATTTCTCTTTAGATTCGTTATTCCTCAGACTGTCATCGACATCTATTTTCATAATATTACTGGGACACCGTCATGAACACCCGACCTCATCCACAAAATTGCCTTAGTCTTCATGTTTAATAAACACTCTCACTCCTACATCATCTCTCCATAGATTATGGACGTTCGATTTCATTCTTCATTAGAATACCTCCAAGCCAAAGACCTTGAAACTGCATATGAAATTATACGATCGGGGAAAATGACGTAACTGGCATTCCCACGCTGTTTTTGCAAACTTACGACCATAATGTAAATTGCTCGTAGATGACTCCCTGTTAGAAAATTACTTCGGTATACCATCTTACTGCATTGGAAGCCTAATAAAATGGTTGAAAACTTCGCGAAAACGAATATTATTCGCAATAATTTTACGGTTAAGGAAACATGGGTTTATTTAAAATACTAAACACCGGTTAGGAATCTACCATTCAGTCAGAGTCTGCCTCTACGGCTGAGCATAAATATAGTTAGCTAAAACTAACCAGGGAAGCAGTAAGGGTAAAGTTGATGCTGCTCGGGAGGAAGCTAATAGATAATTATGGTATTCTAAGTGTATAAGTTTATAAAATAGCACTGTAGCACGTGAGGACCTCCAGCTTACCGGAAACCTCAGAATAAGTATGCGAAACTACCCTAAATTTTCCGATACTTGTTGCAGTTACAGTATTAACAAAATGCGAATATAACTAATACCAGCTGCAGTTTTAGCAGCACTGATAGAATGATGGTAAGGACAACGATTATAACATGAGTAAAGTGAATGGAAGCAAGTGACCAAATCCTTTTTCTGTTCGTAGAGGTAAAGTAAAAGGGTTAGCAAAGACCACGCACCATTAGCTTCGTCCACGTTAGCTTCGCCAAACCCCACGGGTTCCGAATCGCACTGAAAATTAAAAATTCCCACAATGCGTGTTGGGTCAAGGCCCTTCAAGGGGAAGGTAAAATACATCTTCAACTCTTGCAC